GTGGGAGCGGTGGTGGCAGAGGGGGGCCTTCACCTGCCAGCCCTCTCCCCTTCCCCAGGGCTCCATGCCTGTTGCTCTAAACAGTTGTGAGGAGGAAGCGTGGCCGGATGTGAGCGTGGCCACCTGGGCTGGAAGTGGTACTCCTGGCCAGGTGTGGCCGGCCAAATGCCAATAACTTCCTTGCTTTAACTGTTGCTGAGTCACAGACCTGGCGGGGATGTGACAGAGGCCCACGTGTCCCCTCCCAGGTACACCCTGCTGTGTGGGAACCCTCCCTTTGAGACCTCTGACCTCAAGGAGACCTACAGGTGCATCAAGCAGGTGGAGTACACCCTCCCTGCCTTCCTCTCCCTGCCTGCCAAGCACCTCATCGCCGGCATCCTCAGACGCAACCCCCAGGACCGCCTCACCCTCGAGGAGATCTTGGACCATGAGTTCTTCAAGGTGAGCGGGTGGGGGTCTGGCCTTGACCATTCTCCGGGTGGGATGAGGCTTTTGGGGCTGTGCAGGGCGCTGCCCTTGGAGCGCAAGTCTCAGTCCTTCAAAGGAGGAAGCAGTGGCTGTCCTGCCCAAACGCCAGCCAGGGGAGCTGATCTGGTGTGCTCCTGCTGCCCTGACCCTACAGCATGAGCTGTTTCCTGTGGTGATGCTAGTTGTGGGGCCAAGGCTTGACAGAAATGCAAGCTGGCTGTCAGGAGGGCTGTGAGTGACTGTGGTCAGCCCAGGGCAGCTGCTCTGCTTGGAGCACGTGGACAATGCAAACTGAACCTCTGCCTTGACCTCTATGCAGGGCTACACGCCTGAGAAGCTCCCTCCCAGCAGCTGTGTGATGGCTCCAGAGCTGAGTCCGCCGAATCCAGCAAAGAGTCTCTTTGCTAAAGTCACCAAGACACTCTTTGGGAAGAAGAAACCCAAGGGTGAGTCCATGCACTTGCCCAGGTGACTCTGGGTGTGACCCTTCCTACAGGGAGAAGTGGGTCCTGTCTACTGGAGAGACCTCCTGAAGGGTCTCCATGGACCCCCTGCCCAGGGCCAGCACGAGCTGGGCTTGCCTCTGCCCTCCTAGTGCTGGTGGCCTGGCATGGGTGTGTGCCTGGAGAGCGGATGCTGTGCTGCAACCCACAGAGGCAGTTCCTCCTGGAAGCCCTGTGTTGTGTGAGAACTGGGAAGTGAAAGTGGGAGGCAGCTGCCTGACACCATCCTCACCACTGCAGGCATGGGAGCAGATGAGGGAGAGCTGAGCTACTGGGAGGGGCGGCCCAAATGTCTCCATCCCCTGTGCTCAGCAGTGTGCTTATTGCTTGCTCTCTCCTCAGCCAAGAAGGGCTCTTTGGAGGACAAGGATGACATCTCCAAGCTGGTCACTGGGCTGATGAAGACCTCGATCTGCCGGCAGATGAGCTATAAAACTGTGGAAGGGAATGAGGTGAGAACATCCCCGAGCCCCTGCACACCCCTCTTCAGGGGAGCAGGCAGGATGGTGATAAAGCCAGGTCTCTCTGCAGGCCACCCCTGTATCACGCCGCAGCGCCAGCTCTAGCCCTGTGGAGACAGTGATGGAGGAGACATCTCACAAGTCTGTGTCCCCCTCTGTCCGGGGGACGATGGCCAGCAGCTGTGAGGGTGAGCAATCCCTGCTCAGGCCACCCCAAGCCTGCCCTGAGCTTCCTGCCCTGACTGATAGCAGGGCCGGCTGACTCAACCTGTCGTCGTCTCTCCGCAGCCTTTGAAGACTGCATCACTGCCTCTGCCATCATCGAGTCGGCTGTCCGGCTCCTGCGGACCTGCCTCTCCTCCATGCCTCCAGGTAAACTGGTCGGACTGCTCTGGGGTGAGACAGGGCGCTGTGCATCCCCTTCCTCGTGGGATGAAGGCATGGCTGCTATTTGGGGTACCTTAAATGCTGCCAGAGCCTGTTGTGGGGGGTCTTCTCCCACCCTGGGCAGGTGAGGTGGGCAGGGGCTGCCTGCCTGCTCTGCTCACCCCCTCTTCTCTCCACCAGCGGAGAAAAACCCAGCTTCCCTGGCCCGCCACGAGCACTTTGTCTGGGTGAGCAAGTGGGTGGATTACTCCAACAAGTATGGCTTTGGCTACCAGCTCTCCAACCGCAGCATCGGGGTCCTCTTCAACAATGGCACGCACATGACGCTTTCCCCCAACCACAGGTAAGTGGTGGGGAAGGGGCTGGTGTCTCTGGGGAAGCCCCTCGGGTCGGAAGGGGCAAGGGGAGGCTGTGCCATGGGTGGGTTTGGTGCTGGGTGGTCCCAAAGCTCATGGTCTTCTCCCTCCCAGGACTGTGCATTACAACCCGACCAACAGCAAACACCTTGTGTTCTCTGCGGCCGCCATCCCTGAGCAGCTGCAGGGACAGATGAGTGTCTTGTGCTACTTCGCATCCTACATGGAGCAGCATCTCATGAAGGTGGGTGCTGGGGACCTGGGCTGGGGTCATGGGTAAGCTGGATGTTGGGGCATGGCTTGACCACACCGCTGGGGGTTGTGGGACTCCCTGCTCACAGACTGTGGCCAGGTGGACACCCAGAGAGTTGTGTTCTGGGAGTGGGGACCTCATTGGAGGTCCAGGTTTGTCTGTGTGTATGCTAGTGGTGGTGCTCCCACATGTGGGACCAGTGGCTTATGCAGACCCTTCTCTCCAAGGGAGGTGACTTGCCCAGTGCAGACGACCTTGGGCAGCCGGCCCTGCTCCTCCTGCAGTGGGTGAAGACCGACCAAGCCTTGCTCATGCTCTTCAGCAGTGGCACCCTCCAGGTATGGCGCAGCACAGTGGAGATGCCCAGACCCCTGCAGGGAGGAGGCCAGCCAGGGACTCCTGGCCTGTGTTAGACCTTGTCTGCCACAGCACAAATGCAAGGTCCAGCTGTGAAAACAGCTATGGGTGCAGGATGCTGCTCCAGTGCCTGGAGCTGCTGGTTGCAGCTTGTCTAGCCCGGGGGGGGCATGATGCTTTGGTCATCCACTTCCGTCTGCCCTGATGCTGGGGCTGGCGCGTTCCCGCCGTGGGGCATGGAGCAGGGATGCTCCTGGGCAGGTTGGGGAGGAGGAACGGGTTGAGGCAGGAAGTGTGGCTTCATCCTGCCTCCCGACATGCTGTGGGAAGCGTGGGTTAAACCAAGCCCAACATGTCTCCTAGGTGAACTTCTACAACGACCACACCAAGGTGATCATTAGCAAGCCTGACCACTCCTGCCTTGTCACCTACATCAACCGTGAGCGCAACTCCTACACCTACAAGCTGTGCAGCATCCAGGAGCTGGGCTGCTCTCCTGAGCTCCACCACCGCCTCAGATACATCCTCAAGCTCCTCCAAGAACGGGCTGAGGCCTAGTGTGGGACCTTGGGGGACCCTATCTGCACACAGAGTTGTCCCCCTGCCCTCCCACAGGATGGGAGGTATGTTGTTGGTGCTGGCTGCCCACCTGGGCACCCTGTATTCTGGTGCTCAGCTGGACTCTGGACTAAGACACATGGATGTGGTTACAGCAGCAGGTCTGGACATCCTTGCTGCTCCCTGGCTCTGGGCAATTGCTGTCTTCCCACTGGCAGCTCCTGCTCTGGTTGTGCTGGTCTTGGTGGAGTGGACTGGGGTGGCACAGGGAGGTGGTGGGTGAGTGCCCTGCAGCCAGGTTTTGGTCTGGCTGTGCCTTGTTTGTGGCGTGGTGCTCCAGCCTGCCCTGGCTGGCAGCTGACTGCCGTGGGGGCTCGGGCTGTCCTACCCAAGGCCGTGCACCAGTTGCCCAGACCCTCTCTGTGGCCTGGAGAGGACTGGCACAGCCTTGGTCTCAAGGCTTGGCTGCTGTGGGGTAGGGAAGACCCCTTCCCAGGGGTGGACAGGGGTGAAGGGCGCTGCCTGCCCTGCCACGGGCTATGTGGGCTGGTGTGTGCCACTCCACAACTGCTACACTAAGGAGGGGGCTGTGCTGGGCCCAACTGTGCCCTGTCTGCTCCCAAATTGTGAATTGTCTGGTACAACTTGAGGTTTGATAAAGGGGGGGGGATGGGATCCAAGGGATTGCCTAGAGAAGCCCTTGTATTTCTGGGACCTGGGGACGTTTCTTTGTTTCGAGGCAGTCTCTGCCGTGTGGGACTATTTATGTATCTTATTTATATGGAATTATTTATTTCCCTGTTGGTCTGTTAATGTGCAGCTCCCCTGTCCCTGACTCACCTCAATAAAAACTTATTTGTGTAAGGGCAAACTATGTCTGCTTTGCTTGGAGCTGGGGCCTTGGTTGTAAAAGGGGCTTCATCTTCATCCTTGCTCCAGGACTGCTTCTGCTGGCCATGCAAGACCCCTCTGGACACTGGCTGTTGCTGGGGATGACAAGGCCAGGGAGGCAGGATGGGGCTGAGGAGCCTGTGTGGTACCTCTGCCCTTCCCACGGCTGCCAGGAAGGGCAGAGATGACTCTTGCTGATGCCTGTGGAGCCCTGGAGCTGCCTTAGCTTTGCTTGACTGCTGCCAAACTCTGACTCCCAATTGTCTCTGCACTTGGACCAAGCCCAGCTGCTCTCATCCTTCTGCTGAGCTGGAGAAGGCAGGTGCTGTGGCCCGGGGACTGGGTGGGTTGCCTGGGTCCTTGCACTATGACACCTGGTGTGATGGGATATGAGCTGGGAGTGAAGCCAGGAAAGAGGAGGCTCCGTGAGCTTGCTTTGAAGGTTATCTGTCATGTCCTTCCCCAGTGCTGGTGTAATCAATCTGCCTGGGAGCAGTCTGTGCTGTGGGAAGCAGGCTGGGCTGCTCCCGGTAGCGTGGCCTTGGGCAGCTGCCTGCTCCAGGGTAACGCAGCCTTTCGGGTTGTATTTGCTGCGGCTTGGGTCTTTGTGTAAACCGTGGTAGTGGAAGCTACAGCGTGAGTGTGAGCCCAGGCTGGGGGCTGTGGTGGGCATGAAGGTGGATCCGTACCTTGCTCCCTGCATGCACCATGGCCAAAGCCACCAGGTATGAGCCACCGCTGGAGCAAACCTTTATTTCAGCTGCTCTCCCCCTGCAGCTCTGTAAGGCTGGGTGGCGGGAGAGGCAGGTGCTACTCAAAGTAGACCCCATGCGCTGTGGTCACAGCAAAAAGCGAGGCGTTGGA